CGCTGCAGGACATGGCGCGGCCGCTCAAGCAGTGGCTCTACAAGCACCGCGACAACCCCTACCCCACCAAGACCGAGAAGATCCTGCTGGCGCTCGGCTCCCAGATGACCCTGGTGCAGGTGAGGCTCCGCACACACGCACCGGCCCCGCTCCCGTGCCACGGCCTCCGCTCCTCCCCTTGCCTCCGGCTTCTCCGCAGGGGGCTGGGGCATCCCGCCGGCTAGCCAGGCAGCCCAGGCGGGCAGCAATGGATCAGGGCCCTGCTCACCCTGCGGGCTGGGAGCACGAGCACAGCAGCTGCTGAGGCGCAGGCTCCCAACCCAGATCCTTCGGACCCCCCTGCCACAGGACGGCTTCTCTGTCACTGGAGCAGTGTCCTTATTCCACCCACGGTGGCTGTAGAAGTGTTAGAACAATTCACCAGAGAGCCTTGTGTCTACCAGGGTGAAAAGAACAAGGGCCGTTGTCTCCTCTCATTCACTAAAATAGCTTCTTTTTTTATTTCTGTCTTCAAAATAAAATCTGGAGGCAGTAACTAAGCACCAGAAATTTAGCACCAAGGGGGATTTCCAGAAGTTAGGAGGAACTGATGATTTTCCATCTAAAAGCAGGAGGGATAGAAGCAGCTTTTCCGTAACATGGCTGTTGCACCCGCAACATACAAACAGGGTCTGTACATAGGGGGTCTGAATTTCCAGTTCTTGCAAATCCACCCACAAAGGATCTCTGTAAGCAGAGACCTACCTTCACCTGCTTTGCTTCTGCTGGCAAAACTGTCTTTCTTGTTAGTGGAAGTTTTGTGTTAGGGGTAAGTAGCATAAGACGGGACTCCATGGGTTTGTGAATCTTTGCTTGCTTTTCCACCTGACACTGTCTGATAGATGATGTGGTTGCACGGTTTCAGCTGCTGGGTGGTGCTGTCAGGCCTGGATCCTGTTAAGATTTATGCACTGTGAATAGTCTTATTGACTTCTCTGGGACTCCTCACGGCACATTAAGTGAAGCACATGTATGAGCCCTTGCAGGATTGGGGCCTCAGGACTGTCGAATACATTGTATGTTACTTAGCAGATGATGTCTGTGCAGCAAAATAACATTGAATGTTAGAGAAATAGGAAAGAAATGGGAATCCAGCCTTATTACTTTGTGGATTCCCTTAAAATATTATCCCACAACCTTTGATTCTTACAGGGCTGGCAAAATGTGGAACTTTTACACTTTGGAACTTTAGCATGTGAAGCTCCGGCACTAGCAAAAACAGCAGAGGTCTGACAAAAATAATATTAATGTCTCAGAAAATGCCAATTATAACTGGAAGATATAGTTAAAATAACTTGTCTCAGTTTTTAAAAATAGACATGAAAGGATCACTCAGAGTTTTTAAACACGATTACATAGCACTATCCATAATTTACAGCAGTTTAATATGACTGTTATTGTTGGTCTACACCTTTTTTAGAAGATTTCTGTTTTGCTGGGTTTTTTTACATGTGACTTGAAAGTATTTTCAGAGTACATGTGTGGAGAAAATATAATTTCACATAGCTGACATGTTAGGGAATTTTTCCTTTATTCTTTAGACGTGCCACGGAATAAATATGTAAAGGAAACAGCGTGATTGTTATTCTATAACATTTACATGATGTAGCACTCAGGCCCCAATCAGGGTCTGCCTTGTGCTAATTGCTATGCAAACATAGAGCTAGACATGGCCCCTGCTCCACAGAATTTATGATCTAAGAAGGGTGCACACGAAAAAAAATATAGGGCTAAATGAATCCCTGATTTGACACCATTGGCTTTGCTGATGTTAACCCTAGTGATGAATGTTGCCCTGCAGGTGAAAAATAACATTGAAGAATTGTGTGAGCAAGTAAATCTATCTCAAGGTACAGAAGCACATGATACCCCAGATGTGTCTTCCACCATTTGGGTGCAACATTCTTTTACTCCAGAAACATTGTAGCATCTGTAAGAGAGATAAATACATATGTCTGGCATCAGTAATAATTCCTGAGCCTGGAAGAATAAAACAACACATACCCCAAATGCAGTTTGCAAATGCGGAGGAAGAATAAGACGTTATCCAGATAAACCAGCATTATGTTTAATTCTCAAGGTTAAAGAATTGTTATGATCTTAGTTATGCTAGGTAAATCTAAAATAACTTTATTGAAATCCATGGTGTTACTTTGAACTGAAGTTGGTAAAAATGAGCAGCTTCTGGGCCATATTTTTGTATCTGTTTAAAAATGTTGCTTTTTGATCTAGGACTTGCACATTCCAGAACTGTCAGGCAGGGTGTTGCATGATTGGGCTTCTAATCTAGTTATACTAAGTGCCACAACACATTGTTGGAGAACTGGGATATAATGTTTCCTTGTGATTGCACACCACATTTTCTAACCAGTCTTTCATTTCTTGATCTTAGTTTTTTTTCCCACTTCATCACAGATTTCATAGGCATTAGGGCTGAAAGGAACCTCGCAAGATCATTGGGTCCAGCCCCCTGCCCAAGAGGCAGGAAGTCACTTGGGGTCAAATGATCCCAGCAAGATAGGCATCCAGGTGTTTCTTGAAAGTTATCCAGAGTAGGTGCTTGCAAACTATTCCAGGCCCTGGGGACTCGGACAGTAAAGAAGTTTTTCCTTATTCTTGAGATGCTCTGGTGAGCAGACGTTCTCCCAGTTCCTGATGCAATTTGGCTTTCCAGTGTTTTCCAGCCTCCTTCATTTTCAGAATAGCAGCATGTTTCCATGGTTCTCATCATGTTTTCACTAGTTCTTTAAACTTCGATTCTACTGAAAATATTGCACCTACACTTGCTTACGGGGTCTGATTAGACCTTTCCATTGAAACTCCCATGGAAAACCAAAAGATATTTTGGAAACTTGTGTTTCTAGGGAACCATCTGCTTGGGTAACTGGTTATGTTTATCGAAATGGTGGACTTGCACTAGCCTTGTAGATAGTCTATGAATGACAGGTAACTCCCATGTATGTAAGAGCATTAGCATTGAAGTCTTGCTGCTCCATGCAATGTCCTGGGTTCCAAAAACATTGCTGTCACTGGAATTGTGTGGCTGGTGCGTTCCTTCTTGGACCTGCCCTCTTCTAGTACAGGAAATTGAAAAGCCTGGAGGAGGAACAGGCAAGAATTTACTGGTAAACTTCCCAGGGATCAGTATGCACTCCAGTTTGTATTTCCTCAGAAGTTAGCTGTTGCCCCAGATTGTGCCTCTTCTCCATCTCGCCCATTCTCATCAAATGTACAGACTTATGAGGACTTTTGCAGGATCAGCTGAAGCAGAGGAAAATGGTTTTTGAGGCCACTATCTCTCTGACCTGTGTTTGGGTCATGTTAGAGTATTTCCTCCCACTTTCCTTTCTTCCTGTGTCTCAGGTTGTTTAACTGTACCATTTTAATACATCTTTATGTAATGATCTATCTCTTGGTGCTTTGAAAGCAATATGAAGTTGTTCTATCTCCTGATCCTTAGAAACCTAGGAGAAAAGGCAGATTTTTGGAGGGTTTATCTGGAATCATGACAAATATCTCTTCTTAGTAACTGGTAGCATAATTTGGGCCAAATTCTGGGCTGACTGTTGGAGTGGGACTCCAGAAGAGTACGTGTGATGCGTGTTACTGTAGCAATAGGTCTGACAGATCAAAACATTATGCTCCCAGAGTCACAAAAGGTGAAGACCAGAAAGCAATTCTAAAAGGCTTCCTACATTTTTAGCTCATCAACTAGACTCCAGTTCGTAATCCAGCAATTTGTCCTGTTAATTTGCCATGAATATGTTTTTTGATTTGCATTATTACCACAACTTTTGATTTATTTTATTTTAAATTTTGGTTTAGACATCTTGTGAAATAAAAAAAGAAAAATGGCCATATATTCTTTCCAGAAGAAAATATGAATGGTTTTATTGTTGAATAAGAAGTTATTTGCCATAGCATGATTAATATACTGGTCGTGTGCTGCTGGGGATTTCATAATAGTCAAGTTTGCATGGGAGTATCTCTTAACAGTTTACTGGGGAAGAGGATCATTTGGCTATTATCCCTCTTCCAAATCCTTGGCTCTTCTTAAGTAGTCAAGCATAACAAATTAAAAGAATCTTTTCAGAAGCAAAGCCAAAAGGTCAATATTTCCTGATGCCCAAATAAATACGTTCTTTCTGTTTTGGGCAATAACTGAAGTTGCTGTAAAGTCTCAACACCAAGAAGCATACTTGTGGTAACTTGCCCCATGTTTCTCTTGTTTCTAGAATGGTCTTTGTTTAACGTCTTGTTGACGCTTTTGTTATTTTGCATGAACAGAGACACCGTTGCAAGAATTTTGATCTTGTAGTTTTCTTAAGACACTTAAACATTGGTGGGGTTGAGAGACTAGAATTTTCTCGCAGCAGCTTGTATGCGTCTCATTGGTTTTATATTTTGTGTGATTTCCCAGTGCAGCATGGTAATACAGCTCATATGTATCTTAATGGACTTTTGCATAGGGTGCTTTTGTTTATAATAAATCCTAAGTAACAGTGGTAAGAGAAAAGACATAGTTGCAGACATGCATATTTTTAATGAAAGCTTGACTAGCTTAAACTAATGACCAAACCCCACTGACTTCTGTAGGATGTGGATTTAACCTATAGTATCTTAGGAGCTTTTCGGCAGATAACCCTGACCTCTGTTCAGCAGCAGTAGACCTTCAGAATCTGTGTATGAAGTTATCTGAGGAGAAGTCAGTTGCTGGAGTCTATTTCTGAAGAGGGCTTGCATTATCATTCACTTGGAAAAAAGATGCTTGTATGCTCAGTTAAGATTATTTCTTAATGATTGAGTATTAATATTCATCCTCTCCAGCCAGGAGGCTGAAATTATGAATCTTTCATTTTTATTGATGTGAAAAACATTTGACGTTGGCATGGAAAAGCTGAATCCACAATTAACTGATAGTATACTCATAAACCACTCTAGGTACTTAAGTCTAACTGCTTTTCTGCTCCCCTGCCTTCTGTCTCTGTACATGGCACACTGATAGCAGGAGAGTGGAATGTTTCTCATGAGGTGCTTGGAAAGCTGTTAAAATATTCAGCTGAACCCCAAATTGAACAGTCTCTATTACTGCACGTAAGACTTCAAAATTATACTAAATCATGTAGAAGTCAGATGACCAATATTTTAGCTGAACAGTCTGGAATGAGTTTGTTAACTGCATTAAAAAGTGGATGGATTCCAACGCAGCCCTTCTGGTTTACTATAATGATTGCTGTGTCAATATGATGAATGTAAACAAGCAGCCCTGGAGTAGAATGAAAATTACTTAGTCTTCTCTGCCAGCTGCAGATTTGGTCTCCTAACCTGTCACAGTAAACTAGAGGGTTTATAAAGTAATGTGTTTGGCATTAGAGTGCTGATCCAGAGCTCACTTGCCTAGCTGTAGAGCTCTGTTTTATGTAAAACAAGGTTTAAGTAAAATCAAAGTGACAAGCTTAAGGATTCTCTATGAAGTTTGAGGTAAAAACCTGAATTGGAATTTTACTTGTCATTAAGCAGGTAGTGTTTATTTTCCTTTTAATCATACTTAAAGAGATAATCTATCCAAAATAATTAGCTAACTTCTTCTGTGTTATTTACACACTTTTCCACAATAATTGGATTAAGCAGCAGAGCCAAATGTAGACTGAGAGCTGTTTTTTGACTTTGTGGTAGTAGGATGATATCTGATGGTAAAAATGGGTTAGTTGTCTTTGTATCAATTGAGATGCACTATCTTGCTGGAATCAGTGCTAATGGTTTATCTGTAGCTCTGTATGTCAGCTTTGTCACAGCACAAAATGCGGGCTTCATGTGAAGAATTCAGAGATGCTCCACATTTTTCTTTTCACGTAGTGCTATGCTTCATCCTTTTTGGGGAGATCACATCAAAATACAGTTAACTCTGGAAGGAGTAATTTGCACTTAAAAGTCCTTTCTGATGTTTTTGCTCTGAAAAATGTACATCTCTCTCAGTATGGGTAGCTTGTTCTCTTTTGCCTTGTTCCGCTGATGTCATTAGAGTTTTTCTAGTTTTATCCCAACTTGAGCAAAAGTGGAATCCAGCCAGGATTTGCTTAAGAACTGCAAATGCTACAATTCAAAGTTAGTGCAAGCCCCGGGGGTCATGCTTGGAATGTTTGTATAACGTCCGTGTCATAATGTCAGAGCCTACAGCACGTGTGACATACTTTAACAGTACAAGTATGAAGTACTGTGAAATATTGGTACACCACATTTCTGTCATGGAACCTACTTTTGGTGAAAGTGTGCATCAGAAGGCACAGCACAGGAGTATTTACATGTCCTTATCTTTGGAAAAAAATGTTTGAGGTAAAACTGTCTAGAGCCACATATAGATTTCTGCAGTGGATCACAGCATGGGTATGTTCTGTATATGATACTCCCTGTAGTCCCTAATTGTAATTTACAAACGTGGCACAGAGCAGGATTTATATCTTAATATTACAACATTCAAAAGGGGTTTCTATTCATGCTTATGTAGATATCACAATATCAGCTGATAGATCTAACAGTACTCATTAACTTTAACTGAAAAGCTAATAAATTCCTTTGAAAATACTTAATAAAATGTTAGGATATTATCTTTTAATAGATACATGAATATAAAATTAGAATTATAGAGAATTATTATAAATTAATATGACTATTGTTAATAAGGCAAGTTCTTGATAACCCTTAAGAAGGATGGAGGGCCTGATCCTGCCATCCTGTCTTGGGAAAAGTCTCCACACTGAATAATGAGAGATTTACCAGGACAGGATTAAACCCTGGTTTATATGAATGTCTTTCAATCAGAGTTACGTGAAATTTGTGGACAGTATTTTTGTTACTCAACCTGTTGTTGTTGTTGTTGTTTGCTTGCTTTTTTGTCCATAAAATCAATGCATTTGGTTTTATATAGGTATCAAACTGGTTTGCTAATGCAAGACGTCGCCTTAAGAATACTGTCCGGCAGCCAGATCTCAGCTGGGCTTTACGAATAAAATTGTACAACAAATACGTTCAAGGAAATGCTGAAAGACTTAGTGTCAGCAGTGATGATTCATGTTCTGAAGGTTGGTTTATGTTTTTATATTAGTTTTGTTCCACATTTCCAAATGAAACTAAAAAAAAATAGACTCTTCAAAATATCTGATGATTTTTCATAAATCCTGCATGTCACAGATTTTATTTTGTCACGAATTCATTGTATATGTCTGCTTCCAGTTATAACCATGTAATACCACAAATAGTTAAAGGAGTTATACATCTTTAATTTACGGGAGAATCTAGCTGTATGTGAGGTATATTTGTCTTTGCTGTGTAATACTGTTATCAGACAACAAAAACTTTAGTTTTTCAGGTATTTCAGGCCTAGTCATTTAAGTTGGAAAACAGCAAAATGCTAACAAATGCTCATAACTTCAAGAACATAAGGAATCTCATTGATGTTAGAGGGCCTTAATATTCCTAAACTCATGTAATATCAAATTCTGATAAGGCCAAATGACTGTCACTTTATTAACAAAGAAGGCAGAACTAACCTTGTAGACTAACTGAATCAGAGATGCATAAGCTTTTGTGAGCAAGACTGATCTTATTAATGTGAGTGAGACGCCTCGTGTTGTAATATAAGCAGAATTTGGCTTGTAGTGCTCTTGCATATTGGAACCGGGAAAGACATTCCTTGAAAATGTTCTTGATACGTGATATGTCCCTTTCTTGCAAAATTAAAGTCTCAGAAAAATTGTAAATAGCACACTGCTTCTGTTTTTGAGAGATTATATTGATCAAACACAGAAACATCTTCATTAGTTTTGCAATAATGTGTGCACCGGTTTATCTCTTTGGAATGACTAAATGCTACAAAATATTGTTGAATATGTTTGTTTACATTTTAAATGAATTTGTTTCAGGTGTGCTCATGTTTCTTTTGTGTTACTTCCCATAACATTTTGGCTACAAGGAAGTTGAAAGCAAATTTTCAGCAAATATTTTAGGGTATTCACAAGAATGCTGTTTCAGACTCATTATTTCATGTATTTGTCTTGGAAGCAGGGTGCAAAGAATAAATAAAGTTAATCCCATCAGGGTATTTAAAAGGAACACATGATTTTTGTGGCTGTTCATGCAGATCAGATTTTGAATATCGAACATATACATTGTACTCATTAAAATTACAGACTGAGAATTATTTTCTGAAATTATCTAGCAAATGATTTAGAATAGCAAAAAAATGCTTGGGGAAAAATTGTAAATTATTTATTCAATTTCTGTCATGATTATGTGTATTTAAAGTACATCGTTTTAGATGCTCTGATACTTTATAATAATTGTAAATTTCTTTTTCAGATGGGGAAAATCCTCCGAGAAACCATATGAATGAAGGGGGATATAACAAACCAGTTCATCACACTGTGATTAAAACTGAGAGTTCTGTAATAAAAACAGGAGTGAGACCAGAGACAAGTGCCAGTGAGGATTATGTGTCACCCCCCAAATACAAAAGCAGCTTATTGAATCGTTACCTAAATGACTCATTGAGGCATGTCATGGCCACTAATGCAGCTATGATGGAAAAAACAAGACAAAGGAATCATTCTGGTTCATTTAGTTCCAATGAATTTGAAGAGGAATTGGTGTCCCCGTCATCATCAGAAACTGAAGGCAATTTTGTCTACCGGACAGGTAAGGGAATTCTTCATGTAACATTTTAAAACATGGTTGTTTATAAAAGCTTACTGTCCCCTGAAAGTGAGCAATGTACTCCATTCTGACTTTAATGGGAATGGATAACTCTCATTAGTGTTACAGTTGCAATAACATAGTTACAAACTATTTATCGTCCACTAAATTTAAGCATTCTTGTTGGAAATAATGAATGCCGAATGGGTAGTGGGATCAGGAGCTATTGTAGAGAGCTGAGAGTGGGAGCTGTTGTATCTCAACCTCAGAGAACTCTTGCAATATACCTAAGACACAAAGACATGTATGAAGCCAGGATTTTCATAATGGGTGCCCAATTCGGTGATTATGTAGTATGAAAAACATACAGCGTTCAAGAGCCTTTCTCTATGCGTCTCCAGCTGGAGTCATGTAACCAGTGGTGAAAGTACCTCCTATGGCTCTAGCATGGGACTAGAAAAACACCTGGAGTTCTTTGTGTGTTACATATTCCCAACCAGCACATATGGTCCCTTTACCTCACTTCCTTACCTCCTATAGGGCCTTGTTACATGTCGCCCTTTGAGCTGCTCAAATGTTGATCAGTGAGTGCTGGCTTGAGGTTGGAGCAGTCAGACCTTAAAGCTAAAAACTTTTTCTGACCCCCATCTGCACAGGTGTGATTTGCCATTACAGGGCGAGTCAACAGAGGCCTGACTAGGAGCTACAGCTGTGAGTTGTGACCATAGAGCTTGTGATCCAGGATAGGCTTCTATACCTGTTCTGTTGGGGGGGAGGGAATGAGAGGTGGGTTGCAGGGGGGCTGATGGGGGTGGGCAATGAATTGGGAGGTAGAAAGGAAATGGGGATGGGGGAAAGGTGGTGAAATAAAGGAAGTCAATCACTGAAGGAAAAAATAAGTAAAAAAATAAACAATTTAAAAAGAAAGAGGAAATAATTTAAAGGTTTCTTGTTTAATAAATTGGGATTGGGGTGTGGGGGGTGCTAGTTATGCTTCATGGGGTGACTGGGAGATAGGAGCAGTGAGGAAAAGTGCTTCAGGGTGAGCTACTGCACCAGGAAGGAAGGAAATCCCATCTCAGGGGGCTGGACTGGGTCTCCATACCTTTGTTTTCCCCCTGGTGGACCCCATTCCTGGACTTGACTGTGCCCTGCAACTTGACTAGGTGGCATGTACTCTGCAGGCTTTTTGCACAGGGTTGCACTCCTGAGGGGTAGGAGGGGGAGTTGGCTTGGTGCTAGAACCATGCCCTGGGCAGTAGAATTCAGGTGGTGGAAAGTTTGTCCACTTAAAACAGGAGAGTGGGGGAGGGGACACTGTAACTTGGATCACTTATGTGTAGGGAGGAGCCACACACTAATGGAACATGAGCTAGGTAACATGGATCAACAAAAACCTGTCCTGAAGTGGCTTAAATTTAAGCCGCTTAAAGTGTGCTTAAAACTAGTTTAAGGTGTTAAAATGTGGACAATCCAGGAATTAAGAGCTCCAGGAGCTGCATAAAATTAATGTGTAACAAGGCCCACACAGTAGAGAGGTAGTTAGCCATGATGTCTGAAGCCAGTCAGAAGGCAAGGTAGAGGTTCACCTTCTAGTTTAACTGAATCAAAGATGCATAAGCTTTCATGAGTCTTAGTTCACACCTGATGAAGTGAGCTGTGGCTCACAAAAGCTTATTCATCTTTGATTCAGTTAGTCTGTAAGGTTTGCCTCTACTTTGCCTTCTGTCTGATGCAGGGGATTCAGTACTCAAGATAAATCAGCTTCAGTGGGAGCATCTACATGTGTACATTTACTACTCAGTAACCAAAATTACTGCCCAGTACGGATACACATCTACCCTTGCACACCTGTACTGCGCAGTAAATATAGTGACTTACACCAACTTGAGCATAAATTTGATACCTGAATTATGCAAGTATCAAATTTATGCCCAATTAGTTACTGTGCAGTAACATGTGTAGATGGGTTACTGCACAGTAACTCAGGGGGCCTCCTTGCTGGGTCTGCCCAGCCACTAGTGGGCCAGCCTGAGCCCAGCCCCAGGGCTCCTGGCTGTCCACTTCTCTTAGCTTTGACTTGGTACTAAAGTTAGTCCCAAGTGCTGGCAGCCATGTGGCTGGAGGCTGGGGCTCCCTGCAGTGGCCACAGGGGCACATGGCAGGCTGCTTTGACCTGGGACTAAATTTAGTCCCAGGTCATCTGCATGTGTAGACGCCAGCCTATTCCTGCTTACTGTACAGTAGCTTATTGAGGTAAATTTAAGATGGTGTAAGTGCATGTGTAGACCCGCCCAGTGTGTAGCCATTTGCAGCTTGCACAACATGATGTGTTGGAGCTTATGCACCTCTTACTGCTGTGTAAATCCAGGCATGGCTGGGCCCAGTTTTTGTTGTACTCTTTAGGCAAAGTGCCCTATGGGAGCTGATGAAATCTTAGCCCTAGCTCTCAAACATCTTGATTTAATGGTTAGGGTTTTCTTTATTTGTTTATTTTAATCTTAGCAATAAAAAGCAAAAGAGAGTATGATTGATATCACTCATCAAGTTCTGTCGGAAAAAGGCATCGTGGACAAAACCCTGCCTGACTTGCACTGCTTGGACAAGTATCAGTCAGAGCAAGAAAAGGACTCAAGGGGGTGCTGCTGGAGGGAGTGGCTTCTCACAGGCCAGAAGGGGAAACACCCTGCAAGGTCCTTTTTGTGGAGCTCACTCCAAACTCTTTGGGTTAAGGTCCAGTGTTCTCCTTCCATTGCTGGAAAATGGTCTTTGAACATGGGCCCTGTGAGTCTCCTTAAAGATGTTAGGGACTAGCATAACATCAGCCCAGGCCTCCCCACTAGTTCTGGGATTCCTTAGCTGGAGTGGCTCTGCCAGAGACTCTTGAGCAGCTTTTAGCAGTGGCTATTTTAATATAGTTCGGAGGTGCTCTAGATAGTGTTCATTTCCCTGCAGTTTCTTAGCTGAGTTGCTTGGGGAGTAATGATACACACTGCTCTTGACCTTGTCTGCAACCTTCTACTTCTCATCCCTGGCCCATTTCCCAGGATCTCTGTCCTTGTGGAGGGTCCTCCGCTGATCTAAAGGACAAAATGCAGGGTTTGACTGAGCCCAGGATTTAGGTTAT